ACATATTAGATCATGGGTCGGCATTGGTGCCTTCGACCCACTATACTTGGTGAGGAAACTCACCTCTACTGCTGAATCTCACTGAAAAATCCCTGGCTGCTGGTCCGACGAATCTCCGAGCTATCAATATAAAATAAACACTCAATTAAGATTTGGGTCTCAAACCATGTTCAACAATCCATCCTTGGGGTAAAAAGACCATTTTACCCCTTGCCTAGTTTGGTCCAAGACTAATGCCCAAACTCCCCATTTACAAGGCCCAAAACCAAGTAATCATCCAAAGTCTATTTATGGAAGATTGGGCCCAAATCCCAACATGGGCCTTACCATAAAGCCCAACAATTTTTCCTAGTCCAAAATACTTGTACTTAGGTGGCCCAACAGGAACCAAAGCATCCAAGCCTAATAAAATGGTCCAAACTTGAAGCCCAAAATGCTAAGCCCAACAGAATGAGTACGTGGGGCGTACTCAGCTGTACGCTAAGCGTACTTGCTAAATGGCTTGTACGTCGTGCGTACAGACTTATACGCCCAACATACTCACCCAATAAACCAATATCCACATTAAGCACTCAATTCTTAAGACCAAAAGCCCAAATCACATATCTTAGCCCTAATAAATGTCTAAAACCATAAAGTCACTGACTTGGTGACTTTGCATGCCCCAAAAGATCCCAACTTCAAGATATAGCATTTTACTTTCACAAAATGGGTATAAACTCATGCATGGATGGATCTAAACCTTAAAGGTGACAACTTTATCCATCTAGAACCTCAGAAACACCAAGAGTGGCAAATCAAAGCTCCTGGAGTGGTATCAAACCACTAGATCTCATTCTTGGCGCCAAAAGAGACCAAAACTCACAAATGATAGATCTAAGCCACTAATGAGCAAGTTCATAGCTTTTTAACTCAAACAAGCTGGAAATCAAGCAAACAAACGAGATCCACAAGCTCTTCCTTGATCCACCACCTTGCACCAAGCTTCTACTTCTTGAATATGAACCAAAACCACCAAAATGAACACAATGAGCTCAAAACACAAAGAAGAGGCTTAGGGTTTCGTGCTTGAGGCTATAGGGATAATGGAGGCTGAGAAATGAAGGTTTCATGGTCCATAATGATGTTTATATAGTGCCCACCCCAAAAATTAGGGTTTCTAAATGACTCACGTACGCCCTGCGTACATACACGTACGCCCAACGTACGTGTCCGGAGTCCCGATCCCGCCTCGCATGAGTACGCTAAGCGTACCATATGGTACGCCCCGCGTACTCGTTTTACAGCTTGTACGCTAAGCGTACCAATGTGGTACGCCCCGCGCAGGGGCGGATCTTTTCAAGGGCTAGGGGGGCTGTGGCCCCCCCTGATTTTTTTGGCATAAATTGTCCCTATGCTTTAATTTTATACATATTTAGTCCAAAAATATAAAATTTTAACTATGCCTCCCACTGTTCACCAATTTTTATACAAATTATATTTTCGGCCACCCCAAATGAAATATTGAAGCTCCACCACTGGCCCCGCGTACAACTCAAGGACCAAAAATGAAACATTAATAACAATAAGGGCAATAAAGAAACTTACCAGGATTCAAGTGTTACATCATAGCTCCTGGAGTGGTGACAAACCACTAGATCTCATTCATGGGACCAAAAAGGGTCCAAAACTCATATAGACTATATCTAAGCTTCTAATGAACTAGATCAAAGCTTCTTACCTCAAATAAGCTGGAAATGAAGTAAAGAATCAGGATCTATAAGCTCTTCATTGATCCACAACCTTGCACCAAACTCCTTCTTGAATATGAACCAAAACACACCAAAATGCACACAATGAGCTCAAAAATACAACAATGGAGGCTAATGAACGATTTCTAGGGTTTTGAAGGCTTATGGACTGGTAAATAGGCCAACCCTAATGACTTAAGGTGTTTATATAGGGTGCATCACCCTAATTATGGTTTCATTAACTCACACGTACGCCCCGCGTACATGCATGTACGCCCTGCGTACATGTCCAGAGTCACGACCAGTCCTCGCATCAGTACGCTAAGCGTACCCCTTGTACGCCCCACGCACTGGCTTTTCTGCTTGTACGCTAAGCGTACCACTTGGCACGCCCCGCGTACTGTCAAGGTCCAAAATGCAACTTTTAAATAACACAAGGGCGATAACAAAACATATCGGATTCAAGTGTTACAATTTTACGGGTTAAAACACTAAACATGTTGAAATAGCTTGACCATGACCTTACTAAAGATTAATAAAACGATTTAGGCTCTTGTTTCACAACTATTACAATCAGAGTTCATGGAAGTGGATGAATGATTTGCCATAATAACATCATTAGCATGCCAATCAAAAGACTATGTAAAACCATATACTAATAGAGGGACAATATGGATCCTAGTCATCATGTAAAAATTAAATGTATATCATCTGGTGATAATAGTAGAGGGGAAGCGAAAAAGATAAAAAGGATTGGAATTTGGTGGGTTATTGGGTATAAGTGTACTGGAGGTCTATTGCTTTAATATTTATATACAAAAATTCACAAATGGTCCTCATGGTTTTGATCTCCAAAAAAGTCCTTATGGAACTTTTTTGCATGAATGATCCGTTTGGACAATACCTTGCACTCCAGTGATGTTTGTTAGATGGATCCATTAACTTGATGAAATTTTGGATAATGATCATTTCTAGTATTTTTTGAAACTTCACCTAAGGACCATTTGTGAAATTTAAAAGAAGTCGATTAAATCTTATATTAATTAACATAAATTAAATAAAAAGACAAAAAACTAAAACATAGAAAATGTAATATTTATATAAATAAAAAATAAAACTTACTAATTTTAATCATAATGCAAATATATTTTATTTGATATATAAATAATTTTTGTTGTCTAAACTTTATCTAAAATATTCAAACTATAATACATCATTCAGTATTTATGTTTCTATTTTTTATCTAGAAATTTTGAAATATAAAAATATCATTTTATTCATTTTTAACTTTTACGTGATATTATTTTTGACATTTATCTTTATTTTTTATACAATATAATATGATTTTTTTAATATAAAATAAAATACATTATTATAAAAATAATAGTATGCTGCTATTTTATTTTAAAACATATAAGTATGTGGATTTAAGTTAAATGTAAAAATATGTTTCGATTTTGGTTCCACAATATACGTACATTAAATTTTATATTGGTTAAATATAACATTTGATATTTAATTTAAAAAATTATTTAGTTTTATAAAATCTTTAATATATTCCTTAATAAAAACATGAACTTTTCGAACCAAAAATAAAAGAAAATTTGTGTTAGCTAATAATAAAATAATTAAATTTTTTATAATTACTTTGGTCTTTTTTTCTCATACGTTCTTACTAGGGTGACAATTTGGTCGATCAGGTTCGAATGTCATGGGTTTGTGGGCTCGCGGAACCTATATATATATATATATATATATATATATATATATATATATATATATATAGGCGGGTTGACAGGTTACGGGTCAAAAACAACAACCCGACCCAATCCACAAAACCCATTTAATTATACATGTTCGCAAGTTCACGGGTAAGTTTCACTAAAGGTGGTGGTTTAGAGATAAAGTGACGAGCGGTAGTGGGCTAGTGGATCGCAAGTGTAATGGTGGTCGGTGGGTTGGTGGTGTGCGACGCCAATGGAAGGTGGTACTGGTGGGTAAACGACGTTGAGGTAGTAAGGTAAGGATGATGAGTTGTATATGGTCTTTTTGAGTAACAAGGAGTCAGTATGACACACCACACTCCTAAGTCATAATTCAGAAATAAAGATTACTTTTAAAAGAAATATATAATATATATTGGTGGGTTGACCCATGAACACAAACACTTAACCCGACCCGACATATGAAATAAGCAGGTTGACGAGTCGTAAATCTCAATCCAAAATCGTTTATTTTTGTGTCAAGTTACGGGTTGGGTCGAAAATTGTCACCCCTAATTCCTAAACATGCTAAAATAATTAACTATATATTAGTAATATGACATTAATTCCATTGAATTCATTTTCTTTAAAGAAAAATAAAAATATTTTATATGTTTAAAAACTTTGTGTTTCATAAATAATAATGTATCATATTTTTTTTTAATAAAAGTAAATATATTTATATAAGAAAAATAAAGATAAATCTCGAAAATAATATCACATAAAGTTAAACATAGATAAAATGCTGTTTTTATACTTTTAATTTTTTAGATAAAAAATAAAAAACAAAAATATTTAATGATGTATTGTAGTTTATATATTTTAAATAAAGTATAGAGTTTAGACAACAAAAATTATTCATATATTAAATAAAATATACTTGCATTATGATTAAAATTAGTAACTTTTATTTTTTTTATTTATATAAATATTATATTTTTTATGTTTTAGTTTTTTTTTTACCTTTTTATTTGATTTATGATGATTAATACAAGATTTAATAGATTTTTTTTTTAAAATTTCATAAATGATCCTTAGACGAAATTTCACAAATAGTGTTTAGACGAAATTTCATAAAAGGTTGGAAATGGTCGTTATCTAAAAATTTCTCAACTTAACGGATTCATTTAATGGACATCCATCATAAGGATCAATGGAATGCAAAGTTTTATCGAAAAGTTTCATAAAAACTGTTTTGAAAACAAAATCAAAACCATAAAGACCATTTGTGAATTTTTGTCATATTTATAAAAAAAAAAAAAAAAAAAAATGGCTAAGAGACCGACCTTACATGAAATTAAAACTAAAAGACTATCCATGTAACAGGAAAAAAAAAATAAGGATAAAAACCAAGAATATAACAAACCAAAAAACCATTTATTTATTTTTTTAGAAGATTAAAGTCTAAAGATGTTTGTTTGTTTAACATCACTACCGACTCGATAATGCCTTCCACCTTGTAACATAGACCGTTTACGACGCGATCCATAGAATCAAACGGCTCGAAATCGTTTATAAAATCTTATACAATCGCCATATCCAAATATTTCCTCTTTCTCAGTTAGCGTAGACATGGCGTCATAGGCTTATTATACCGAATATACCCCCTTTTCAATCCTTACTCACCATATTAGGGTTCTTGATCTCGATCCGTTTAAACCCTAAATCCATAAATTTTGCACTAATTCACCGCCTTGATATCTGAAAATTCAGATTCTTGACATTCTTTCTTTCTAAACTCATACTATCTCTCCAATTTCTACTTATTACCTCTTTATTATCTCGAGGAGGAGGGCATTCGTTCTGATTTTGTTCCGTGTGATGATCATACGCATATATTAAATTCGCCGGTTGCATAGATGGACTTCGATGGAGGAAAACGTGTTTTTAATAGATTAGGGCCGTCTCAGCAGCATAACGATAACAGAAATCAAAAAGTATGCTACCATTGGAGAGCGGGCAACTGCAACCGGTTTCCTTGTCCCTTTTTACACAGGGAGTTATCGGCGCCGGCTAATGGAACGGCGTCCTCGAAGAGGCCTCATGGTTTCTCCACCGACGATCAACGATCGACAACGGCACGGAGGGGTGGTGGTTCTAATTTCAACGGCCCTAACACATGGGGGAGGGGCGGTGGACGAGGAGGGAACTCTATAACTAATAATAGTAGTAGTAAAGGAGCTGTTTTCAAGAAGACAGAGAAGATTTGCAACTTCTGGGTACAAGGTAATTGTGGTTATGGGGATAAGTGCAGGTATTTGCATTCATGGTCTTCGGCCAATTGTTTCGCGATGTTAACACAGCTTGAAGGTCACCAGAAGGTATACCTATGAATTTAAAATCTTCTTTTGTAGCGATATATTGGTGGCATTGGGTTTGATACTTTGATTGTGTTCTTATTCTGATCTTTGCATGAAACTAAAGAAGTCATCTTCTTTCGATGATTAATTTGACAGGTTGTTAGTGGCATTGCACTACCAGCTGGTTCTGATAAGCTTTATACTGGGAGTAAAGACGAAACTGTGAGGGTTTGGGATTGCCAATCCGGACAGGTTGCTATATTCACCACTGTTCTTTAGTTATCATTTGATCAAATGAAGGATACTGGAGTTCAATCATATATTGTTGTCCTTTTGGTTTCGTTGTAGTGTGCAGGGGTTATTAATTTGGGTGGTGAAGTTGGCTGTATGCTTGGTGAAGGCCCATGGATGTTTGTTGGTCTACCAAATCTTGTCAAGGTAATTCTTTATAACCACCTTCAAACTATCTTGTTTCCAACATTATCTTTTGATCATTTCACTTTTGGGTTTTACCATTTTTCTGAATCTACCACTTTTGTTATTGTCATAATGTCATTACGACGCCATAGGCATGGAATGTGCAAACTTCTGCAGAGCTGAGTCTTAATGGACCTGTTGGGCAAGTCTATTCTCTTGTTGTAGGCAGTGATTTACTCTTTGCAGGTGTACAGGTAATTTGTTTACTGTTTATGATTTTGTGTTATCTCTTTTTGGTTTTAGTTTTTGTTTGAAAACATAAAGATTTATTGTTGCAGGATGGGAGTATATTGGCATGGAGGTATAATGTTGCCACTAACTGCTTTGAACCAGCTGCTTCACTTCAAGGGCACACATCAGCTGTTGTGACATTAGTTGTTGGGGCTAATAGATTATACTCTGGTTCCATGGATAAATCTATACGAGTAAGTTGAAGAATTGCATTAATGCTAATGGTTTCTTGTTTTTTTGGATTTTGACCTTTTTTTTCTTTCTGCATATTACTTGTTTTCAGGTTTGGAATCTTGAAAATTTGCAGTGTTTACAAACCTTGACAGATCATACTTCTGTTGTGATGTCGGTTCTTTGTTGGGATCAGTTTCTTTTATCATGTTCACTTGACAAAACAATAAAGGTTTTGATGACACCATTTCTTTATAACATGATCTTATGCTTTTTTCACCTATAATTACTTATCATGCTTAGTTGTGTGTGTAGGTGTGGGCTGCTACAGATAGTGGGAACTTGGAAGTAACTTACACACATACCGAAGAACATGTATGTTGATGATCAAACCATTTTTAGCTTTTTTGCATATATAATTTAAATGATTTTTTTTTTGTTGGAATTTGGTATATAGGGCTTGCTCACTTTATGTGGAATGCACGATCTAGAATCCAAGCCTGTATTGCTCTGCGCTTGCAACGACAACACTGTTCGTGCATACGACTTGCCATCGTAAGTTTTTTTTTTAAATAATAATATTTTAAAAAAGTATATCCTAAAAGAAGTTAGTTGTGTGATTGATAATGATATTAATATTTAATAGGTTTGCTGAAAGGGGGAAAATATTTGCAAAACAAGAGATTCGAGCTATACATGGTGGTCCAAATATATTCTTCACAGGCGATGGAACAGGAGAAGTTAGAGTATGGCAATGGTTGGCTGACCAAACACCCCAACCTTCATCCGCATGAGAGATGATATAAAATTCAGATATTTGTCCACTATTTTGACTTTTGAGCGACTTTTTTCTTTCTTTGTAATATTTAACGTAAAAGTTTTTCTTTGGTTCCTTGTTGTGCAACGTAAAGTAATTATGGTCCGGAAAGAGAGAGCTATCCATGGTCATTCATTGTGAGAAGAGTAGCTCGACTCGAAGTTTAGGTTTTTGTTGCTAAAGTTTTGCATATTTGTGTATCACATTTTGGATGATTTTATTTTTGTATCAGAAACAGAAACAGAAAGAGGAGGCTGCATAATGGAAGTTTTCCAACTCGTTTGATGTAAACATATTATTATGTTGTTATTGTATGTGTTCTTCTGTAACTAGATATGATAATTCAGGTATGCACAAAAGCTTTGCCTCATTTTCTCTTTCTGTCTGATTGTATATCTATGCGGGAGGTCATTTATGAGTCATTGCCTCTCCCTTATCCTATTTGATATAACATACGGCCAAAATTGATTTTCTTCTTATTGGTAGCAACTATATATAGATACAAATATTACGGTTTACCACCATTGACTTATAGACAAGTACAAATAATGTGTAAATATATCCTAGTCTAATATACCCCTCTCAGTCTAAGGAGGAGGGTTGTGGAAGCTTAGACTGGAACGAAAGTCATTGAAAAGAACCTGTGGTAAACCCTTGATGAAGATATCTGTAAAATTGTATCGAGAAGGAACATGTAGAACACGTATCTGGCCCTGCTGCACTTTGTCTCGCACAAAATGAATGTCAATCTCAATGTGTTTAGTGCGTTGACAAAATGAATGTCAATCTCAGTGTGTTTAGTGCGTTGATGCTGAACTGGATTACCGGTCATGTAAATAGCACTAATGTTGTCACAGTAGACGATAGAGGTCCGAGACGGATGGGAACCCAATTCAAGAAGAAGGTTCATGAGCCAACAAATTTCACCAACTACATTGGCTACCCCCATGTATTCAGTCTCAACGCTAGATCGGGAGATAGCCGTCTGTCGTTTCGAGGACCAAGAAATAAGATTTTCCCCGAGGTAGATGCAGTAGCCAGATGTGGAGCGCCTGGTGTCAGGGCATCCCACCCAATCTGTGCATCTGTATACGAGACAAGGGATGAAAGATGACCAAGACGTATATGAAGGCCCATAGACAGTGTGCCTTTCACATATCTAAGGATCCGTTTCAAGGCATTGAGGTGACCGGATCGCGGGGCATGAATACGCATACAAATCTGCTGAACTGCATATGAAATGTCTGGTCTTGTGAAGGTTAGGTATTGCAAGGACCCAACTAGGCTGTTGTATGAAGTAGGACCATCAATTAAGTTCCCAGAATCCGCAGAAAGTTTACCGGTTGTGTCAACTAGAGTGTGAACCGGGTTGCAATTATCCATTTTAGCATGATGCATATTTTCTTGGGCATATTTCTGTTGAGATAGGAAAAGTCCACCGTGTTGGCGAGTGACCAAAATACCCAAAAAATAGCTCAGTGGACCTAGATCTTTCATTGCAAATTCCTTGGCTAACCGAGACATGAGACGAGCTTTGAGTACCGAAGAAGTAGTCAAAAGGATATCGTCAACATATAAAATGAGATAAGTTGTGTCTGCCCCGTATCGATAAATAAATAGCGAGTGATCGCTAGAACTGTGATGAAATCCCAAAGAAGTGACATAATCTGTAAATCGTTGGTACCAGGCCTGTGGAGCTTGTTTGAGACCATAAAGGGATCGTTTGAGACGACAAACATGGTTAAGAAACTGCCGATTCTTAAAACCAGGAGGCTGATGCATATAGACAGTCTCAAATAGGTGCCCGTGAATGAATGCATTTTTAACATCCAACTGGTTTATAGTCCAATTGTGATGCAAGGCGATGCTGAGAACGGTTCTGATGGTAGCCACTTTAACCACTGGACTGAAAGTTTCTACACAGTCCACTCCTACCTATTGTGACTTGCCATCACAAACTAAACGCACCTTATAGCGCTCAAGTGAGCCATCAGATTTTGTTTTGTGTTTAAATATCCACATACACCGTATTATATTGATGTCCGGACGACGATGTATAAGCTCCCAAGTGTTATTATCGATAAGAGCGCGAAACTCATTAGTCATGGCTTGGGTCCAAATCAGAGAGGTCAGGGCTTCGACTAGGTTTTTAGGAATAGGTACAACGGAAGAGGCACTGAGGTTGAGGTATTGTTTTGGCTTTGAGTTCCCGGTCATGCTACGGGTCTGGGTATGGCGGGTAGGTCTAGTTGTACCTGGAATGTTTTGGGCAGGGATTGAGGATGGTTGAGGAGGAGGCGAGGTAGAAGTGGCAGGATGTTGTGAGGGGTGGTGTTGTTTAGATCGACGATTGTAGGTTTTGAGTGTAGAAGGAGGGTCTTGGCTGGACATGTGTGAAGGGGGAGGAGTGGATGGGGTTTGCTGGTTTATGGGCTAGGTAGGAGGTTGAGTAGGTGGGTTACAAGTTATAGAAGGAGGAGTAGGAGTTTGGACAGAGTCCCAAATAGATGGGTGAGGTTCGGACGAGAGGTTTGAGTGGAGAAATTCATAAGAAGGTGTTGGGTGTGTTTTTTTAGCAAACGGGAAGATATTTTCATCAAATTCTACATGGCGACAAATAATGATTTTGTGGGAAGAGAGATCATATCACTTGTACCCCCTATGGTTTGAGGGGTACCCAAGGAAAACACAAGGGGATGAGCGGTTTGCTAACTTATGAATGGAGGTGGAAGGAATTAACGAGTAACATAAGCATCAAAATGTTCTTAGGTGTGCTTAAACCACCTTATCCACCTCTCAAACTTCAAAATATTCTTATTGCACCTAACCTTATTAAAAACTTATTATATGTTCGTCATCTTACAACTGATAACTCAGTTTCTATTGAATTTGACCTGTTTGGCTTTCTTATGAAGGATTTACAGACCAAGATTCCCATCCTCCGATGTGACATCATCGGAGAACTCTACCCGCTTTATTTACCTTCTACTCGCTTCACAAGTCTATCCACCTTTGCTGCTCTCTCTCAAGACATCTGGCACCATCGCTTGGGACACCCGAGCTCTTCTTTATTGCGTGTTTTAAATAAAAAAAAGTCTATTTATGTTTTTAAGATTTCTTAAAAACATTTATGCCAGCCATTTGTTTTTGGCAAACAAGTTAAATTACCTTTTCATGATTCTTTATCTAGTACTTCTCTTCATTTTGATATCGTGCACAGTGAACTATAGACATCACATGTTCTCAGTACGGCGGTCATCGTTATTATATATTATTTTTGGATGATTATAGTAATTTCTTGTGGACATATCCTTTATCAAATAAATCAAATGCCTTTCGTGCTTTTTCAATATTTCAATCACTAATCAAAACCGAATTCGAACGTCCAATTAAAACTTTCCAATGTGACAACGATATTGCATATAATAATCTGTCTTTTCATAATTTTTGTACCCAAAACAGAATGGTTTTCCGTTTCTCCTATCCCTATACATTAGCTCAAAATGGCAAAGCCGAAAGAAAAATTAGATCCATAAACAATATTGTCAGCACTCTTCTCACCCACGCCTCTCTCCCCCCATTTTTTTTGGCACCACGCCCTTTCCATGGCCACATATCTTCTTAACATTCTTCCCTCTAAAACCAAAAACAATCTCACCCCTTTCCATGGCCACATATCAATTGAAAACTACATAATTACATAGGATGATCTTAAGTTGTCCCTGATTCTCAAACCTCATACCTAAAATCACTTTTTTGTTGCTTCCGTTATATGGCAGAATTAAAAATAGAATGGACTACATCATCTACATTTACTCCCTCCTCACTATAGTCATTCTTCTCCCTATGTGGACACAACTTATTCAAGGATTCATCATCAACAATCTTATTTAAAGGAGAAAAATCAGTTGGGATGATTTCATCCTCCAAACCAATGTATTCAAACACAGGTTTTGTTTTGGAAGGTTCTTTATCCTTACCTTGGATTACAGAACCAGTACCTGATTCAAACCAGTCCTCCAATACATCCCATGTATGGTTTAGATATATGGATATTGGGATTTCTGGGTCTTTTTAAGCTATATCTTTAAAGTAGGCAGAATCCATTTCGTTTTCCATGAACCTAATGCCAATAGATAAAGGACGATTATGTAAGGAGTAGCATAATTTCTCAAAATCTACTCTAATAAATCTTTCTAGGAAATTCACACATCTAGCCAAGTCCATTCTGACAAAATCGACATCAATAAACAAGTAATGCTCACCTTAAATGTAGGAACATGGATGACACATCAAAACACCATTAAAGTTAATATCGACTTTCAAGTAAATAATGTTATCGTTAGGGTTTGCCACACAGTTCAGATTTTGCACGAGAAGAAGAAAATAATCAACAACTGGAGAAAGCTTGCTCAAATCAGAGATAAGATCCTCTAGAAAAAAGCCCTAGGTAGCACCGATCTCCTTCCTTTAGACTTTCACTTCATCGTTTTGACTCATTTAAGAAGATAACAACAACTATTTTTTTAATAACCCATCTTTACACGTGTAAAAGCTGACTAGGATTGTGTATAGTTGACAATAGAGAGTCAGGGTCCACATGATCGATACAACCGGTAAACCGACATATTTGAAATAGGGTGGCTCATTTAACAAGTTACTTTTGACTTTGATGGTCTGTGAGGTCCAAAATTAACTTTAACGACGTTTTAAACACAAAAGGTAAAGTTTGTAGGGTTTTGGTGCCAAAAACCTAAATATTATTAAGTAAATTTGCCAATGTTAAATTCAAAATTTAAAGTTGCTAACAAACATTTCGTAAATTTACTACCACATCATCATGTTTTCACTCATTAATAATAAATTAATACCGTTACAACCAACTTAAAAAAAAGATAAAAAGTCAGCACATTATTATTTCATTTTCATAATCAATATTTTCAAGAAACTCCTTTTAAATCGAAACTAAAGCCAAAACATTTAATTTCTTTTGAGACATGGTTGAACGCAAATAAGATTTTAAAAAGTCTTAGTTCTGAAAAACTGTAACATTCAATAATATTCTTTATGCTATACAAGAAACTGAATAAATGTTTATCATTTTTAAGAAATTTAATATTCTGTTAGCTGGTAAATGTTTTTGTAACAATTTCAGTTCGTTGAATAAACTATCAGTACGATGTCTAAGATATGCCAATTTTGCAACTTTTTCTTAAGATTTTTACAACTTGCTTTTAACTCACTAGTATTCATTTCTAGCTGTGTATAAGAAACAAAAAATGTCTTCATATT